GCTGGAAGGGACCCTATGGATCATCATCCAGCCCCTCACAGAGGCACAGTGCAAAACTGAACTCCCAACCACTGGCTCCACAGCAATACCTAAATCACTGAGCTATCCAATGCAAAGCTTATTAAAGAAGGCTAAATGTATTCCATTTCAGGTTATTAAAAAATCATCTCACTAATGCATGGGCAATATTTGATTTCCTTACACTCTATGGCAGCATCCTAAATGACTTGTAGCTATATGTGTGAAAGGATTTCACACAAAAAAGAAGTGAGTTGGAAGAGTAAGGTAAGAAAGTTCTGTCCATAGCCTTCATAAGCAAACTGGTAGTCCTCAGCTGATGAAAATTAGTTTACAAACTGGCCCTTCAATTATCGCTGGAGAAGTTAATATCAAAGGCTGCATCACTGGGGATTCTTTTTTTCTGGAGAATGTCTTGTTCTCGTTTAGTTCATAAGAAGAGGAAGCTAACTACAGTGTCTTTCCAGCCTTACCTAGAGAAACCACAGAATGAACCCTTTAAACTACAAAGTATCTGCTCTACCACAGAGTTGCAACCCTTCCTTTATCAAGCTATATCAGCAAACTGACCTGAACACATCTGTGTCTCATTTGATTTCAGAGACTCAACAGGCTTGGGCAGGAAATCACCAGAAAGTAGGAGGTGTTGTTTATTTCAGCGGTACAGTATCTGCTTTCCCAGCAGAAGGTTCAGGTTCAGTCCCCATCATCTCCAGGTAGAACTAGAAAAGAATTCTGCCTGAAACCCCGGACTGCCTCTGCCTCTTGGAGGCAGAATCAATTGGGACCAACAGTCCAAATCAATACAAGGAAGCTTTGTATGTTATTCCTAAGCATTTTAAAAGCTGCTAGTTATCATGCAAACCCCTTCACGGATTGCTGCTCTGTCGTGGTGAAGGGGCTTGAGTTATTCAGAGAAGCTATGGGCTGTGCCGTGCAGGGACACCCAAGATGGACAGGTCATAGTGGAGAGTTCTGACTAAATGTGATCCACCTGGAGCAGGAACTGGCAAGCCA